AAGAAGATCTTGAATATGGTTAATGCAGGACGCCTTGAAGAATTTGAACTTGATGGTGAAGGATTGTTACAATACATAGGCAAAATTTGTATCCCAGATGTTGGAGACTTAAGAAAGGAAATTCTTTAGGAAGCACACTATTTAAATTATATCATTCATTCAGGTAGCAACTAAATGTATCAATATTTAAAGGGAGTATTTGGTGGCCAGGAATGAAGAAAAGTGTGACATAAGTAGTAGCTAAATGTACCTCTTGTCAAATGGTCAAGGTAGAACATCAGAAACCAAAAAGATTATTGCATCCCTTACCTATACCTGAATAAAAGTGGGAAGATATAGCTATAGATTTTATTGTTGATTTACCTAGGTCCAAAAGTGGATGTGATGTTATATGGGTGATAATTAATAGGTTAACCAAATATGTACATTTATATAGTATCAGATATAATTGAAAAATTGGCAAACTTGTACGTTAATGAAATTGTTAGATTACATGGGGTACCAAAATCTATAGTATCAGATCAGGATGAGAGATTCACCTCTAGATTGTTGATAAAGGTTCAAGATGCTATGGATACCAGGCTTACATTCAGTACAACTTTTCACCCCAAACTGATGGTCAATCAGAAAGAACAATTCATACTCTAGAAGATTTGCTTAGGTTATGTGTACTTGATTTTGGTGGTAAGTGGGAGACACATATACCATTGATTGAGTTTGTCTATAATAACAGTTTTTAATAAAGTATAGGTATAGCTCCCTATGAAGCTTTGTATGGGAAAAAATGTCAAACCCCTTTATGCTGGGCTGAAACAGGGGAACGAAAGATCATTTGTGCTGATTTAGTGGATGATGTTACAGAGAATATAAGACTGATCCGTGACATGTTAAAGGCTGTACAGGATAGACAAAAGAAAAACTATGATGCTAAGTATGGATCAGTTGAATTTGAAGTTAGAAAATTTGTGTTCCTCAAAGTTAATAAAATGAAGGGTGTAAAAAGATTTGGCAAAGTACTAAAATTTAGTCCAAGATTTATAAGTCCTTTTGAAATTGTAGAAATGATTAAAAAGGTGGACTACATGTTGATTATGCCAACTCATATGAGTGGAGTATATAATGTATTTCATATTTCTTTGAGAAAATACATTTCAGATGAAGCTCAGAAAATATGTACTAAATTAGTAGACATTCAACCAGATTTGAGATTTATAGAAGAATCTAAGAGGATCAAAGATTATGATGTTAAGCAACTAAAAAGCTGAGACATTCCTTATGTTTATGGAAACATGGATCTGAGAAATATGCTACTTGGGAAAAGGAATCAGAAATAAGAGAAAACTATCCTCACATGTTTGACTAAGGTATGATTTTATAATTTTGCATTTAAATTTTGAGGACAAAATTTTTATTAAAATGGGAGAATTGTAAAACCCGCAAAATACTGAATCGTAAGCATCGCACACATTTTGATGCACAGCGAAGAAAATAGTGAAATTTTCAAAATTGTCGAATTTCAACAAAATTAATTTTATAAAATTGTACATTTAATTTTGATCAAATCGATATAAAGAACTTATGATAAATATCGCATGGATTGGGAGATAAAAATCGTAGAAATTTCTTAAAATAAAATTACTTAATAACCCCTTCTCTTCTTCATGAAATTAAAGCATGTAAGGGCAAATTGGTCTTTTGGAAATCCCTAATCGTTCAAGGTTTTAATAGATAATTCGCACGCTTGGTTTCGTTCAGCCGAAGGAAGAAAGGGAGAGGAAGGCAATGGGCAAGGCTCCCAGGGCAGCGATGACGGCGATTTTCGGCGGCCCAACTTTGGGGGAAATTGTATAGGAAGATCAAAGGAAGACTAAGGTATATTTATAAACAAGAAATTCCTCCATTTCGCATAGATTTCTTGAAGTGAAAGATCATAGGGTTTTATGAAAAATTAAAATTTTAAAGGGGAATGTTAATGAGAGATTGAGAGTTAAAGGAAGGATTTAAAGCATAGAAATGAAGTTTTCCCCAAATTTTTAGTGAGTTTGAAAAGTAAGAGTTCTTCATATTTTTGAATTTCTAAGAAAATTTCTTAATGATTTATGTTCCAAATGATTTTAAGAATATTTTTAATGAATGAAATTAAATATTTTTTAAAATTTTAAATTTTTCTAATTTTTTTTAAATAATCCAAAAATAATTTAAACTAAGTATTAATTAGGTTTAAGGGAAATTTTGGTATGGTTATATGAGAAAATTAGTGAATATATAATTTCCAAAAATTAGGTTTAATGAAAAATCCAAAAATTTAAATTAAAGATTAATGTTCATGAGATATTAAAGTGATTATTAGGGAAATTAAAATCATTAGTGAAAATGAATTAAGTTTTATGTTAGGTTTTCTTAGATTTTTAAAAGTGGAAGAGGAAAGGCGTCAAGGAAATAAGTTACACAAGTCCGATATTTTTACATTAGGTACTTGTATTTTTATTAAATTCAAGTTCTTAATTTTTAAATATTATGAAAGAATGCATTTGTGTTATGACTTTTTTTATTCATTTAAACATCACATGTTCTACCTATACACAAGTATATCGCTATAAGTAATGTTAGATAAGGTGGCATATTTTATTAATAATTTTTAAAATGTTTACATGTAGAATGAGCATGAAACAATATTAGATAGGCACATATGATTGTATGAATGATTTAATGTTCCTACAATAAATATTGAATGATTGAATGTGCATGATTATACAGAGTATCAAATGGTAAAAGGCTCTCCAGTGCAAATGGTAAAGGGCTCTTTGGAGCAAATGGTAAAAGGCTCTTCGAAGCAAATAAATGAAATGATTAGCCAAATTTGAATGTGTATCTGATCAGTACAAAAATGTTGGTACTTCAATGACAGATGTATAAAACTATGAATAAGTATTCTATGAATATAAGAATGTAAAGGAAAAGGTATGAAAAAAAAAAAAAGATAAATTTATGATTATATGAAAAGATAAAAGAAAAATGAGCATTTAGGATGTCATACAAAATATGCATACCCAAATTTCAATATATGACTTTTATAGTAATTCTTCTGCAAATGATTTCAGCGCTGCCATATGAAAGTTATATGCATAATGTCTTCTTTTTCTTGCTTTATGAATTTAAAATAAATATTTGTTACCTGCTGAGCGTTAGCTCATCCCTGATTGTGGGAATATATTTTTCATGAGAACTTGCTAACATTTGATGGCTGACAGACTTATTACTTACCATCGTAGAGAATCCCAAGAAGACAAGTTCTTTATGGTTATGTTATATCATGTAATGATTTATGTAATGTGGTGCAATTGTAGTAGTTGTGTTTTATGTTATGAGTTGATATTTATGATGTAATAGAAATGTCTGAAACAGATGTTTAGTGGCTATTTCCTATTTTTGTATTTGGATGATTATTTGTTATTGTTACTTTGGAATGAAAGTTTAAATTTTTTTTGTACTACCGTCTGTTCCCGCCTCGTTAACTCGAGCTTACCCGGCCAGGTCATGACAATCAAATTGATGTAGGATCAAAGCAGTCAGTTTTAGTGCATGTGGGCGCATCATGTCGGAAACTTCCTATGGGCACACAAGTGGACAAAAAACAAGAGGACCATGAGCCCATAAAAAGGTCTTCCACACGTCTTTTAAACATCTAAGAATCTTGTGTCCAAGTGAGGAAGAAGAGGGACTTTTGCTCGACCTCCCCTATAACTTGATTAGGACAACTCCTAGGGACTTGAAGTGAATTATCTTGTGAAGCTGCTTACCAGGACAGCTAACCTGAGCCTAAGGCTTTTCAATTTTTGCATCGGGAGATTGAATTTAAGGTCAAAAACTAAGCTCTAATTTTTCAGACTTGTGGTGTGAAAGACTTAGCCCCAAGTTAAGGTCGATTCAAAACAAAGAACTCTATCAACACCATGACCAATTTCTAGCACACAATATTGTGAATCTGCATAACAATATACATTTATGTAAAGTATATAACCATTTTATGAGTTAAATATAGAACTACTCCAGAAAATAAGAATGAAAAGCATCCATATCTTTATGTTATGCTACCAGCAATGGCAGCATGAATTGCACAAGTGGTTTTGTAAGTTCTTTCATATTGCCTGGCCATCTTGAGCAATATAATAAAAGTTTGTCGGTTCAAAACAAAGAACTCTATCAACACCATGACCAATTTCTAGCACACAATATCGTGAATGTGCATAACAATATACATTTATGTAAAGTATATAACCATTTTATGAGTTAAATATAGATAACTACTCCAGAAAATAAGAATGAACAGCATTCATATCTTTATTTTATGCTACCAACAATAGCAGCATGAATTCCATAAGTGGTTTTGTAAGTTATTTCATATTGCCCGACCATCTTGAGCAATATAATAAAAGTTTGACCAGATGATCAATCAGACGAATCACCAGTGTCTGGTTCTAAAAAAAGTGATGTCATGAAAAAGAAATCAGATAAAAAATGAAGATCAGCATCAAGAACCAAAACAATAAACACCTGAGAGTCAAGACTCAACTGCAAATTCAAAAAACAATCGCTATACATTCTAATACTTTAAAAATGGCTTATAATGAATGATCGTTTGTACAGATTAACATTATGCTCAATAAGCATTCAAAAAGCTAAAAGCTTTCCAGAAGGCGCTCCTGTAAGAGAAATCTACAGCTGAAAGATGGTTTTCTATAGCTGTAGATGAGCATATTTATATAGCCGCTCATATTTTCAAAAAGGTGGCTTTTTTCAGCAGAAATGCATTAATCAGGAACTCCGAGAACTAGCTAATTGAATACTCAGAAAACAATCAACCAACTGCTTGCAGACATCAAACAAACTTAAAACTACAAGCAAATTTAAGTACTCCAAAATACTAAAATGATTAAAGTTTATGGATTAGAAAATATAATCTACAACATAAATATAATAATATTTCATAGTGCACTCACGCTCGGAGTAAGGGGTAATGCATGCCTCCATTTGGACACCCCAAACTGCATCTGGATCAGCGTCAGATCTGCACAACGGAGGCAAAACACCTGGAGCTCTATCCATGTAACAGTCATTTGTTAGAGGTTTGACCCAAATAACTGTCTGATTTTGTTTTGCAGCAATTTTCCAACACATGTTTTCTACCAGTGCACTCATCTCTCTCCATATTCTCAGATCCTCTTCATCCTGTGCATATGCTTCAGGCGATGAATAAGCAAAAAAACCTCCTGGCCTTAGTAGTCTATCAAGCTCAAGTAGAAGGATCCCATCTCTTTGAAGCCAATCTATCCTACAACGGGAACAATGAGCAAGCTCAAATGACCTGCTAGGGTAAGGGAGTCTCCATGTCCCTAAAACACCTAAAAAGGCAGGTATTCCTCTCTCTAAAGCAAACTGAATCTGGTTTTGGTGAACATCATTTGGAGCCAAGGACATTGCAATAACATTAGATGAGAGAAGATATCCTCCAAAACTTGCAACTCCACAACCAACATCCAATACGGTTCGCAATCTTCCATCATTGTTTATTTCACTATTTGAAAAGTTCAGCATCTGTCGAATGGAACAAGATAAATCAGAATCTTCATTTTGTGGTTCACCAAAAAATAATGCACCGTGAAGGAGATTCTAGGGGTTGAAGAAGAATTTCTCATGGTTTAACAAATCATAGACTTCTAAACAAAGGTTACTAGTGGATAAATGAATCTCTAAAAACCAGAAAAAGGAAATGCGGAAATAGAGATAAGAAGAATGCAGCTTACATTTGCAATTAAGGCTATATATTTGTCAGCTCCATAATGAAAATGGGTACCACCACCAGGAAAATGTATCTTGTCACCTTTCACAACCATCCAGTTCTGATCAGACTTCTCATGTGCAAGGTGAGTGTGAGGTATGTTGGCTTTCCAAACTTCATCTCTACTTTTTGGCCACTTTATTGGAACCTAACGTATGGAGATTAGAGATAAATTCACAAGAACAAGAAGATTGCATTTTAGCAGGAAAAAGATTCAGTAAAACGATGGATGTCAGATATATATAGATAGCACTGAGGACCTTGTAACCAGATGGAGGAGGGATCAAGCAATTGAAGCGCCTCTCAGTCTGCGGGCAATGTCGCTCATAGTGCTCCATCAACGACAAATCTAGCTTCAATCGTGTTTGGTAAATTAAGTTTCTATCCAGGCAAGGAATCAACTCCAAGTGGCGATCATCACAAACCTTGATAAAATATGAAACAAGTCCAGATGTTTTGTAGAAAAATATTAACAAGAAAAATTCTTCAATTATAGGTTTAAAAACCACTCACTGGGAAGCTCTTGGGCGTGATATTTTCATATCCATCTTCTTTTCCTAAAGCATAATATGTTTTGGAAGCATCTCCATCATCACTGCTACCCCAACCTAAACCTAACGACCTTGAGAATTTGGTACCATAATCTAAAGCAGCACTAGCATGCTTCCCTCGATGGCCACCAAAGTAGATGAATAGGAAACCAAAAATTAGCAGAACAACACAAATGAATGGTACCAAGTGCCTCTTTTGGCCTCCATCAGCTCTTCCCCTCATTCTTTTTGGAAATAACTATGATCAAATAGCTATTATGATAACATTTAACAAATCGTTAAATGCAATTCCCCACCTACAGGCAAAAAAATTAAGATTTTCACAATGATCCAGGAGTAATGATTGGTATCCCTTCGAAGCAAGGGTCAATAATTATTCCTCCCGTTGGGACTTTGGACACCAGTGTTGCTCAACAATCTAGAAGAAGAAACAGTAACAATTAAAGTAACAACCTTCATAAGTAAAAAACATAAACTATGATCAAATCATGATGTTCACCAAAAAGCGAGTAAAACTATGGAAATAAAACAAGAAGGAAAGAATAACAAATTTGAACATGCAAATATAACCAATTAAATTGTGGGAGATGAAAATGATAAATGAAATAATACAAGAGGCAGACAACAAGCCAGTGATATGAAGTCCCCAAAATAAACATCATTTTAAGTGTATGTGGCACAGTAAGACAAGCTAGGAGATGAAGGAACAAGTATCTTCCCATATAATGTTTCTATTTCTGAAACGATCAAAAAGTACCTTCCACTTACAAACGTTTCGTATATTACATCCCAAGCATTGGTTAGGATATGTTTACTATTTGGTAACATCACCGCTGCTAAGTCGTGGCATGACATAAGATGGTGCTTTAGATATGCAAAAATAGTTTAAGGCATCTCCAGGTAGGTCTGTCCAAGTAAATACAGAGTGTAAAGAGAGAGTTCCTCGTATAAGGTCTTCATCAGTCTAGAAGCCAATGGTTTGACACGAGATGGCTCTTTAGAGGCATACTAGTTAGCCAGCAATTTGTTGGGACTACAACAGAGCACAAACGAGGGGACATCAGTCTTTTGGGGAGAGGGTCATGCTTAAGCTGTCATTAGTTGCATAGTTGATGTCACAACGGACCGAAGGCTAGAATTAACGAGGTAATAATAGACGATAAGACGGTTGATTAAATTTTCATTAACTAAATTCATCTCCCATAACAGAAAGAGATATTGAAACCTCAAAACAATTTGAAATAAAATCAAATAAATACCTGAAAAAAAAAATCAATAAAAAGGGTAAGTCATAAAATAACTCAATGAGTAAATCATACTTCTAAATTACAGTAGCGCAAGGCTTTAGAAATAATATGTATGCTCATTTCTAAACATAAAGAAACTCCATTTAAATTCATTTCAACATGACTATCAATGTTATACATATATCATATATTTATCCTTATATTTATTCTTTCTCGTAAATAATACAACCTCCGCAAGAATCACCATCTAAAATAGTATCAATGAAAGTACTCATTTTTCCATTTCCTTTAGTTAGATTTGTGCTTTGATAGCTTGTGATATAAGTTCCTCAAAGAAACTTCATTAAAATCATAAAATGTAGATGGTTCTATTCTTTGTGACTGATCAATTGAGCTGAGATATAACATACGCAAAACACGAACACAAGATTATAAGGAAATAAACTGAGTAATGGTCAAAAGTTTAAGGGAACTAACACTCATCCTTAGGTCGATTGGTTGAGGTGTTTGCCCCATCAAAGAGGCCTGAGTTAGAGGAATGGAATATAAATGTGTGTGATTTATGCTAAAACGCAAGGATTTGTGCTTTTACAATTTTGGATATAAATGAACTTCGTTGAAGGTTAGATCTAGTTATTCTTTTGAACTGACGAAGTGAATTGATATATAGTGAAGAAATAAACTAACTTGTGATAGCAAAGCAACAAATTGAGTAATGCCCAAAAGCACAAGTGAACACCAGCCCGACCCTAGGCTGGTTTGTGATGGCTATGGTCCCAAGCAAGAGGTTTTGGGTTCAAAGATTAATTTCAGTGCGCATGTGTGATTTGGAACTTCAACAAGAGGCTGTTTCTCCTGACGTCTAAACAGATCTATAAAACTCCACCACACACTCATGCATCCCAACTTACAGCCAATACTGGTTAAACAAGCAAGCAAACCCATGACGCCAATGTCATCAACTCCACCATTTTGATCCGAAATCTACATGAAGGATGAATTAGGAATCGCAAAAACGAAACAACAAAACTCCAAAAAAAAACGATTTTTCTTAAAACAACTGAGACCGAAAACAAATACACGAAAAACAAACATGCGTCGGAAGCAAGCTCAACGGAAACCAATGGGCAAAACGAAATGGTGAGCGAAACGAGGACCAGCTTACTCTCAAAGCGGAGCGGAGCGGGGCGGGGATCTGGATCAGGGCAATCCCGTGCAGCCTATAAATCTTTGAAAAGCAATTAAGCGGAGAAATGGTAGAAGAAAGTGTCGGCCAATATAAAGTTACAGTAAGAGTGGATCGGAGCAATTAAAGGGAGTGATATAGAGAGTTTCCGAGCAAGTGGTTGAAATTAATTTTTAAAAAATCCGGATATTAGGATCAGATTATTACAGCTATTATTGATTTTATGCAATAGATATTATTCTTTTATAGATATTAAATTTAAAAATTAATATAACTTAATTATTTACTAATAATTTAAAAATAGAAATAGAGTATTAAAATTTTTTAAAAAGAAACAAACTAACCAAACATAATGATGCATTCCATTGAATGCACCAAATTATTTGGCATATTTTAAATACGTCAAATAATTTGGTGCATTCAATAGAATGCATCATCTAAATTAGATTTTATTATTATTTTTAAAGTAATTTTTTAGTAAAAAAAATTAAAACTATAAAAAAAGTAATTATAAAAAACTTTAATTAAATTAAGGAATAACATATAATATAAATTATACATATATATGACAAAATTAGTATTTTTTGAATATATAATTTTTGAAATTAATTATGTTTTAAGCTATTAAAATGTGGCATAATTACAACGAGCAATGTTAGCACGATGTGTTGTTATGCATGTTAAAGCATGACAACTAATAAGCCAGAAAAAAAAAATGTATAGAGAAAATCATTCACATGCCGAAATTTGACCTCACGCTAATGATCATTTTTTTAATCTAATGATGACTAATTGGAATGAATATAAAATCAGAAGTAAAGGTTCAATAGTTTAATTGGGATTTAATCAAGATTAAACTAAATAACATAATAAATATAAGAATTATTTAAATAAGTTTTAAATGACATAGTAATATTATTATAATAATTTAATAATTTACATTTGGTCCTAAAAAATAAATAAAATTCATCCACAATAATATCTTATGTAATTTTAAATACTCATTTTAAATATAGCTCACATTTTATATAAATTTAATTTATATATAAACTTATAAATTTAATACAAATTATTATTAATTTATATTATATATGTAGATATGGTTTACTTGTATATCTAATTTACACAATAAATTTGGATTTATATATCAATCATATTAGATCATCTATTTTTAATAAATAGACAAAATTGTAATTTTCTTATGGTGTTGTTGCGTCCAGGAGTATTCGTGGCAGTGGAGAAATATAAAATTTATCGTCTTAGCGTTGTACGAAAATCCGGCACGCAATCAGATGAGAGAGAGAGGGTCTAGCATTTAGAAGACACCAAGATTTTTACGTGGAAACCCCTTGAAAATGGGAAAAAATCACGGAGCCTAGCCTAGTTCGAATGAATCCATTAGTATTTGCAGTCGATTACAAATGAGGTCCTTCATTGGGAGAAGGCCTTAGCTTGACGTACATCTTATATAGTACATTACATGATGTAAATACAAATAGTCACTATTGACATATTCGCTTTGTTGGAAGGACTGTAGTCGGTGGGCGATGTAAGTCAGGAGAACTGTAGTCAGCTGGCGACGGAGGTTAAAAGGACCGTTGTCGGTAGGCGACGGAGATCAGGAGGATCGTTATATTGCGACGGAGGCTGGAAGGACTGTGTCTGACGATGATGGTTAGAAGGACGGCGTCAGGTAGAAGTCCAACAATTGAAAGAAATCCATCTTCGGATATACATCCAGCGAAAGTCCGGTGGAAGTCCTGTGTCGGGTAGAAACTTGGCGAAGAGTGAAGGTCCGACGTCGAGTAGAAGTCCGACGTTTGTTGGTGAATGAGGAGAACTCTGGCATCATTTGAGCGGAGTTTCGGCGTCAAGAGGGAACTCTGTCATTAATTGTGAAGAATTTCATAAAGCCGTGGAACTTGGCCAGAATTCTGGCGTCCCGTGAAAGTCGGGCAGAATTCTGACGTTCTCCCGAATATCCGGCAGAATCTCGACGTGTTCGAGCGGCGGGAAGAACTCCGACGGTGGTCGAGGAGGAGCTGATTCTCCTTCCCATTCTCTTCTTCTTCACTTCTTCTTCTTGCTTGAGTCCCCCCACTCATGAGAAATGAGGGCTCTATTTATAGTTTTTCTGAAGTGGCATGGCTTGTAAATAGGCGCGAGATCAGAGGAAAATAGGGAGTGGTTGAATGGACGGCTGATATTGGATCCTTCGATCATGTACTGTTCATTGGACATTTGGGCCTTAGTGATGTCGGAATTCGGCGATCTTGGGCTCATTGGATTCGTCTCGTCGAGCCCCTTGATTCGACTATAAGCTCGTCAAAATCGGATACCATTTGGCAACTTAAATTGTGGTACGAACTTTCCAACAGCGCTTCGGGTGCTCGATTTGGGCTCATTTGGGCTCAAATTGAGTTGAATTTGGTGTCGTTGGGTTTGTATTTCCGAGACAATCAGTTCAAGTATAAGTTTGCTGAAATCGGAGTTCAGATGATCCCGGATTTAATTTTTGAAGTTTCCGCATAGCTTTTTGCGTCGAGATTCGTGCACGATCAAGATATTTTTATGATGATGTATCATGTGTATAATTAAATAAAAAAAACAAATGTTATTAATTATATTTATCCTATATTAACAAGTTGTTTCAGTAATAATTTGTTAGCATTGATACATAGAATATATTGATTAAATCTAAGATGTTTATAGTAACTATATGAGATTGATGTAGTCATCCATTTCCCTTTTCTTACAACGTCCGGAGGCCAATCAGAACGCGCCATGTCATTTTTTTACTCTGTACCAGTGCTTGATACCACTCCGTACCAAATGACATAGCATGTTCTAATTGGTCTCCGGATCGTCCGATATCTGCACAGAATAATTTCTCCTTATGTGTCATCTCTAATTAGTAATTACTCAAATTTTGCAACAGGCCTCTGCATTTACCCATCATATATTCTACAAGTCATATCCTAATAAAATACATTTATATGATGATAAAATAAATTTACACATATAAAATTAAATAAAAAACCTCAGTAGTCGTAGTTGATGTGCAGCAAAAGCGATGCAACCATCAGAATGCTTCATAATGGAACCCTTATTTAAGAGTAAGGAAGCAAATATGAAGCTCCTCTACCAATTCTAGCAAGCCCAATGCATCAATAGTTCATAACATAGAGCATCAGCAATATCCCCCTATAACAACCGAAACTCTTAACTATCAAAATATTATCCGCTTTGGCCTAAGAGCCTCATAATTTTATCTTGTTGGTATAACTTTCCAGTAAGTCACCCATCCTAAAATTACTTCGAAATGAACATGCTTAACTACAGAATTTCTTAATGAAATTCCAACCACACAACAAAAGACGCCTCAATGTTTAAGAGTTTAACTTTCACTTAAGAGGTTTCACACCCACAGCTTAGTGTTGACAACAATCAATATTTAAAGTTTGGGTAAAGCACCTAGCTTCTTAAAATTTATCTTTATGAAGTAACAACCGTCATCCACATTACATTAAAATCATGATGGAAACATTATTTTCTTATTCCATGTAAAAGAAAAACTAAGCGCAGCAATAACCAATAACAACATCAAGGAAGCCTTTACGATCACCCAAAAAAAAACATCAAAAAATAGCACAGCTATCCTTACAATTTTAACACTACCAAGCGTGCAATAAAGAAAGATCAAAAGGAAAAAATACTTGGTTTTGCCAGAGAGATATATATAAGAACGAGCGAGATATCTTCATCTTAAATCCTTGAGGTTCTCTTCCACAAGCCACAGCTTCTTCTGAATAACGAGGATGGCCTCTCCATCTTCTGGACTGGAATTTGGCTGTGCGTCCACAACTGCAAGAGATTTCCAATGCAGTGCTGATAAGTACTTGGTAATCAAGTCGATAACAGCCCGAGAATCCCGAATGATAATGAAGCCAGTGGGCCTAAGAATGCGATCCATCTCAAGGAGCAGATCCTCAGCACTGCATCCCTTTTTCTCAATGCTTGAGAAGAGGGTCCATGCATGAAGGAGATCATAAGTACGAGGATAAGTTGAGAATGATTCACACCTGAAAAGGATGAGATCATTCATTACTCACAAGTTGTCCAAAAAAAACTCTTTTTTTTGGGGGGGGGGATGTTTACATACATAACACCTATATACCATATAAAACCCCTCTTTTAATCCATTCTACCATTCTGTTTAAACCTTCCGTCAAAAATCACTATTAGCGACTGTCTTCCCCATCAATGGCATCCTTTCACAGTGAATACAAGTATCTCATCACTTCAATGGAGTGGTAGAATAAAAGGAAAGGGTGGTTTTAGGTGGTATATTTGTAAATATAAAAGTTTAGGTGTTAAATACGCATTTTCAATAGTTTTAGGTATTATATATGTAAAAAAGATTTTTTTTTTTTCATTTTTTCAAGTTCGACGGTATTCGATCTGATCATGGACTCGAGTTAGATTAGTTTCTATAGGCTGGTATATTTATAGGAAAAAGCATTGATAAAAGAGCTGAGAGTATGGAGCGTACCAATCATGCACAGTGCCTATGAGGCCTCTATCATAGATAATTTTAAGTGAGCTTGGCCCATCATGCGGCACAACGTTCATAACCCAAACATCCTTGTCCTTCAGAGCGGCTGCAAATGATCCCAAGTTTGCCTTCATGTCCATCACGTTTCTTATAGTGTTTGTTGTTACTTTAGGGCCTAATAGATTCCAATAATTATGAACTCTCTGCTGCCAATCCTCCTGCAGCACATGCAATACAACAAATTAAATAATTGTGCAATGGCACCAAAATTTGTGTATCTTGACAATAATTAAAAGGTGCCTATATGCAAAGTATAAAGTAGAGAATATCATACAGGAAGGTTTACTAGAGTATTTCTAAGCTTTAAGAAACTATAGCAAAAGTGTTGCAGAAGCATATAAATTACCAGGTCCTTTACAAAACTTTCTGCAGCATAACCAAGATCGGCGAGCCTTGGAGGAGGGGTAGTAAGTCGAGCAGGCCATGGAGCCAATCCACTACCTTTATCTTTATGATGCTCTGTAAAAACCAAGCGTCGTTATTCTCAATATAAGGTTTCAGGAGAATAATGTTATGATTGAATTTGAAGAAATTTTAGCATACTTAGATAGGTGAATAAAAGAAAATTGCAACTCTGGATAGAGAGTTCAAATCTTCAAATACAATATAAATAACAAAACAGCATGATGATTTTTGGTTCTGACATCTATTAAATTTGTACTCAATGGATATGGTCATTCAAACATGTTACCAAAAAATTTGAGGCATATCTTTTCTTAGTTATTATGGAGTATGATTTTAATCTGTTTTAAATCTGGCAGAAAACTCCATATAGGAAATGATACCATATGAGGTTTACCAAAGAGCTGATGAAGCAAATTTAGACAGAGTTCTAAACAAAAAGTTCAATTTCTTATGATATTATCAACTGGGGGACATTTGTAGAACTCTATTCAACGGACCACGTTTATATTATGTCATGCTTTTTACTGATGATATTCTTCTTGTTGATAAGACTAGAGAGGGAGCTGAAGGTAAACTTGAAGTATGGAGGTCAACCTTAGAGTCCAAACGTTTTCGCTTGAGTAGATCTAAAATTGAATATATGGAGTGAAATTTTAGTAGTAATAGACCTAATGGGGGGGTTGAGACTTTGGGCGATCAAGTCATTAATAAGAGCACACGTTTTAGGTATCTTGGATCTATTGTTCAGAGTGATGGTGAAATAGATAGAGATATTATCAGTAGAATTCAAGTTGGACGGTTGAAGTGGAGGAATGAATCGAGCTTGTTGTGTGATAGAAAGGTACCCCTCAAACTTAAGAGAAAATTCTATAAGATGGTGAGACCTGCAATGTTATATGGTGCAGAATGTTGGCCATTAAAAGAGAAGCATAATACTAAGTTGAGCGTTGCAGAAACGAGGATACTGTTATGCCGGTCCAGCTTGGACCGGCTCTACCTGGACCGGCCCAGCCGGTCCAGTTCTATAAGCGACGGACGCAGAGGAGCCGCGCGGAAGAGAGAGGGAGCCACGGAGTGGGGTCCACTTGCAATTCAAACATGGGTTAAGTGTTTTTGGAGGGAGAAGGAAGGGTAGAGTAGTCCTTTTGCTTTTAATTTGAATTAGATTGTATTAATAGGGAGTTATGAGGGGATTAGGTTTTCATCTTGATTTTGAATGAGTTTTGTCTTCTAGGTTTTCTTGCTTGGGCTCTTGGCGTTGCCGGAGATTGTTGGAGAGTTGTTCTTCGTCTCGAATTGAAGAACATTGTATCTTGCTTTGGTTTTGTTTGTCTACTAGTGGAATACAATTGTTACTATTGTTTTCCCAACGTTTTCTCCCTATTTTCTCAGATTTTCCATTGTTTGGTGGCTGTTTTCTATTGAAAACAGCGGAATAATTGTGTTTTGGCGAAGATCCGATAGGAATCACTTGGAATATTCAAGTGGTCTCTATCAGATACTCAGGTGGATGAGTGGCTTTACCCTTAGAGACAGGATACGAAATGAGCATATACGTGAAAAGGATGGAGTAGCTCCAATGGAAGATAAGATTAGAGAAGGTCGCCTTAGATGGTTTGGTCACATAAAACATCAGCCTTTTGATTACCCGGTTAGGAAAAGTAGAGGTATTAGATTTGACTTATATTAAGAAAGGTAGAGACAAGACTAAAAAGACTTGGTTAGAAAATATTAGAAATGATCTTTCTTTATTAGATTTAAACGAGATTTTGACTTTTAACATGACACAATGGAGAAAAAAGATTCATATAGCCAACCCCACGTAGTAGGACAAAAGCTTGATGTTGTTGTTATTGTTGTGGTAGGCTTGTAGCGGTGGAGTCCATATGCATTGGATCTAAATTATGGACTACCACAACCTTTTAGAATTATTGTTGCTTCTCTCATTCATCTGATTGATTTGGTCAAATTCACCTAGTTCAAGTCATTCATGCTACAAGATTCAACTTGGTTTGGTCCAATTCACATGGGTTATGCACAAGACAATTTGAACTTTTTGCTGCCCCAAATAGATTTTGGCAACAATCTAGACCTGATTGATCATGAACTCCAAATAAACATAAATCAACTTTACAATATTCCTAAATACATAAACTGCCACATTCATTCTATTGGGTCTCCATGTGTAACTTGACAGACTAATGAACTAGGCAACCGACGTAGCTATATTATGTAATAACAACTACTCGTTGCAAGCTCAACAGATAAGCTTTAGAGTGGAGACAGGATAGTTCATCACAGACTTACCATGCCCAGATGTTCCTAACCATTCATGAATAACCACAATTATGTATCAAGTCAGAAGAATCATGGACTCTAGGTGTTACTAATTTAAATCTTTATTGCTCGTTGCTTGGCATTTTAAGAAATCATTTAAACCTAATAATACTCCGCGGGAAGAAAAGATTCCTTGAGTATGACCGTTAGTAAAGTAGCATGAAATATGAAAAAGAAAAAGGCTGGATAGTAAATCAGATAAGATCTGAAACAATTTGGTGATTGCACAAGCTGCTTTATAGGTTCACGTGCCAATTGGCCAACCATTTTGAGTAGTATAAGGAAAATGCTATTCTAAGGATCAATTAGAAAGATCACCAGCATCTTGTCATAAAAACACTGACATCATGAAAAGTAAATGAGGCGAAAATCCATACCAGCATCAAAAACTAACGTAACGGACACCAAAGAAACAAGAATCAACTGCAAACTCAAAAACAATCAGAACCGAAAAAGATTCATTCTAATACTTTATAAAAAGCTCGGAATGGAAGTTTTTTTATTAATGTAAAGTAATATTATGACCGCCAAGCACTCAAAAGCTAAAAACGCTCCATAATGTGTTCACGCAAGAGAAATCTACAACCTAAAAATGGTTTTTCTTATCTGCAACTTTAATTAGCATAGATAAAGTATACCGCCAGTCATATATGCTAAAAGGGCAATTTTTTTCAATGGAAAAACATCAGTATGAGGGACAAACATATAGAAACCCCTAGAACTGGCTATCCAAATAGGAGACATTCAACCAAGAGGTAGCATAGATTGAGCTAATTTAAAACTACAAGCAAATTTTAGAACTTCAAAATAGTAAAATGAACAAAGTCTGTGAATATAAAGATAGAAACTACAAATATAACAATATCTCATAGAGTACTCACGTTCAGAGTAAGGAGTAATGCAAGCCTCCATTTTGACATCCCAAACTGCATCTGCATCATCATCAGATCTGCACAAAGGAGGCTTTGTACCTGGCGCTCTATCCATGTAACAATCATTAGTTAGAGGTTTGACCCAAATAACTGTCTGGTTTTGCTTTGCAGCAATTTTCCAACACATGCGATCTACAAGTGTGCTCATTTCTCTCCATATTTTTAGATCCTCTTCATCCTGTGCATATGCTTCAGGTGATGAATAAACAAAAAAACCACCTGGTCTCAGTAGTCTATCTAGCTCAAGTAGAAGGATCCCATCTCTTTGAAGCCAATCTATCCTACAACGGGAACAATGAGCAAGTTCAAATGACCTGCTAGGGTAAGGCAATCTCCTTGTCCCTAAAACATCTAGGAAGGCTGGAATTCCTCTCTCTAAAGCAAACTGAATCTGGTTTTGGTGTACATCATTTGGAGCCAAAGACATTGTTAAGACATTAGAAGAGAGAAGATATCCTCCAAAACTTGCAACTCCACAACCAACATCCAGGACTGTTCTCAATCTTCCTTCATTGTTTATTACATTATTTGGGAACTTTAACATCTGTCAAATAAAACAAGATAAATTAGTTGTTCATTTTACTGTTCAGAACAAATAATAAACTTTGAAGGAGATTGTAAGGGATGATGAATTTCTTAACAATCTATAGACTACTAAACAATGGCTGCATGTGATAAATGAATCTCTAAATGTTAAAATATACAAAGGAAAAGCAAGCACAAAGACTTTCTAGGAGTTCAACCTCAAAAGCAGAAATAGGCATAAGAAGAAAGCAGCTTACATTTGCAATTGAGGCTATATATTTGTCAGCTCCGTAATGAAAATGGGTGCCACCACCGGGAAAATTTATCTTATCACCCTTCACCACCATCCAGTTCTGATCAGACTTCTCATGTGCAAGGTGAGTGTGAGGTATGTTTGCTTGCCAAACTTTATCTCGGCTTATTGGCCACTTTATTGGAATCTAACATATGTAGAGAAAAAGTAAAATTACAAGAACAAAAGATTGCTTTTTAATGGCAAAATCTTTGATAAGATGATGGATGTTTTATATAAATAGAAAGCACTGGTGACCTTGTAACCACGTGGAGGGGGGATCAAGCAATTGAAGCGTCTCTCAGGCTGTGGGCAATGCCTCTCGTAGTGCTCCATCAAGGACAAGTCCAGCTTCAATCGTGTTTGGTAAATTAGATTCCTATCCAAGCAAGGAATCAACTCCATGTGGCGATCATCACACACCTCCACAGAAGAGAAAAAAGAAATAATCAATTAAGTATTGAAGTTTTGTCGCTAATCATTAATCAAGCTAGAAACACAAGTCAATTATCAATGATGAAATTGGAGGTTCAAAAATCACTCACTGGGAAGCTCTTGGGTGTGATATGTTCAACTCCATCTTCTTGTCCAGAAGCAGATTCGTCTGTTTTTGTAGCATCTCCACCATCATTGCTACCCCAACCTAATGACCTTGAGAATTTGGTACCATAATCTAGAGCAGTGCTAGTATGATGCCCTCGATGACCACCAAAGTAGATGAATAGAAAACCTAAAATTAGCAGAATAACACAAATGGATGGTACCAGGTGCTTCTTTTGTCCTCCATCAACTCTTCCCCTCATTCTTCTTGGTGATAACAATGATCGCGTAGCTATTATGATAATATTTAATAGATCACAAAGGCAATTCGACACCACGTAACACACAAAATCAAAAAGATTCTAACAATGATCCACAACGACCATTGCTATCTCTACAAAGAAAGGATCTACTATATTCCCTCCCTAGAGGAATTTGAATCCTATACAAGCCAGAAGACGCCACCGTTGCAAAACAACCTAGCAAAAAGAAAAAGTATAGATTTCAGCAAACTGCAAAACTCAATCATTAACTATGAGCAAACCATGATATTCACCATAAAGCAGTAAAACTATGGCGCCAAAGCCACGGTACCTGAAGAAAAAAATATTTGAAGACGCAAATATGTTGTGCAAAACGAAAGAAACAAACAAGCAGATAACACAGCTTGTGGCATAAATTCCCAAAATAAACTCCGTCAAGAATAATCAGATCCGGATAAATCCATTAAATCAGCATGAATCCTGACTAGCATCAGGATTTGAAAGGAAAACAAGCTCATAACGCCAGTACAGATGATTCCACAATCTTTAAACAGATTATTTACGAAAAGATAGAAGTCCTCACCAAAGTTAGTTATTCTAAGCCCTAAAGAGCAGGTCAATCACATGAAATAAGTACACCTGCCAATTATAGAATGTACAGACAGCAGAGAATGATCGTGCCTCGGGGATCCGCTTTCCTAGTAGCGATGCCAAAAGGACGAAATAATAACCATAGAAACGAAAACTCATAATACATCGCAACTTGCCCCTCAAATCCAAATCCGAAAACATCTAAAACAACAAAATCGGGAATCACAATAAATGAACAATCAAAATTCCGCGTAAAAACTCAACAAACATAATCAGAAGACCTGCATTGTTTATAGCTTTGAAGCCAAAAACAAATACATGAATAACGAACATGGTTCCCAAGCAAGCTCACCGGAATCCTCTCAAATGCGAGGCAATCAAAAGGGAAAACAAGGTGAAATGGGACGCTTAAACATGACTAACTCACTCTCAAAAGATATTCAAGAACTGGATCAGATCTCGAGCAGCTTAGAAATCTGAAATCTTTGCGAAGCAAAAGTCGGAAGAACGAGCTGTCGGCCGATAGTGATTGCGAGTAAGAACAGATCTGAGCTATTCAGGATAATAGCGTTCTTTGGCAAGTGGATCAAATTAATTTCGCCGAGGTCTAAAAACTATGACCGATTTGCAATTATGCCTTTCGTTTAGAACGACCTGTCCCTTTTTTTTTGGTCTAAAAACTATGACCGATTTGCAATTATGCCTTTCGTTTAGAACGACCTGTCCCTTTTTTTTTTTTCCTGTCGGTTCTTAAAATACTTTCATTTTAAGTATTTAAAAAAAGGTTATTTTTTAAACTAAATATGGTATAAACTAAAATTAGCTAGTTAACTAACTAAAAAAAATAAACTGGTCAAAGTCGCCCATTTAGCGAGTGACTTGTTTTTTAAGTTCCCTTTTATCATCCATGATTCCGCCCTATTTTCGCATTTGGCTTCTCTATTTCTCGATCCGGCAACTGTTCAGCTCATTTCCTCACATATTCGACGAAAATATGTTTGGAGGCAAGATTTGAGGCATTTATTAATTTTTTTAAGTTATTATTATTATCCGTTTGTGGTTAACCTAAGTTAGGCAAAGTTTCTTTTAAGTTTATAAGATGGATTTAATCGTTTCCTTAATTTTTTTTTAAAAGGTTTAGTCATTTGAAATTTCATTGGCAAAAAAGAAAATAATGCTTTATGTTAAAATTTTTTGGCAATGTATTTGTAGGAGATCATGATATTTTAAGATATACATCTTTTGTTTGTGGAATGTGAATTTTATTTGTTTTTTCATATGATATTTAAGTGTAAAATTATTATGTATTTTTGAATTAGTTTTATATTAATTTAATTTGTAAACATTAAATATGTAATATTATATTCAATATTAATATATCATTTATGATAAATTATGGTTTTTTGTGAATGTTTTTGAGTTGTGAATAAGGTTATATTGGTTTATTGAAGGATTTGATTAGTGAAACGTAGTAGCGCAGTTATGTCTAGACGAGGAACGTCGTTTTGTTATTATGTGTGGCCGAGAGAATTGTCTTAAGATGATAAGCATGCATCAATGTATATTGGGGGCTGTTATTGTCCATTGCATGTGACAACTAACACAAAGTTAGAGCAGCTGAAGTTTAGGGTCCTAAAAACGCTCAAGTATGATACATTGAAGTACACAATGATGTTAGTTTGTTGTATGTCCTTAAGGAAAGAGTTTATAGCTTCGTTTGTGGAGGATGATGAGATATGTGAAATAGTGTTGTCGCACGATTTTAGTTTTATGTGGAGGTTGAAGAGATTAGCGCACATAGTAATGTTGATGAGATTATCACATCGCAAGTGCATTTAACATTCAGTTTGGAGGAAAGGATAGAAGGTGCTTCCATGATTCCATCAATCCAACCGCTATATACTAAGTTCTTCATTTAAATCTCTATCGAATGAAGTATAATGTTATGGATGTATAACTTTTGTTAACATACTTTTTTTTTTTTTTTTTTTTTGAGGACGTAATAAATTACAGTGATAATATTGGGTACCAAGTCTAAGAAGATTTTTCAATTCCAAGAGAGTTGATGGAAGGGATGTGTTACACTACGGAGGACTTGCAATTAAATTATATTAAAATATAAATATATACTTTAAATATATTTAATATTAATAATATGTTAATATGATTTAAATTTTTAATATTTTTTAAATTTTAAATATTAAATATAAAAAATTTATGATATTTATGTAAATCTTCATTAAATTTAATATAGGATTTTGAAAATTTTAAAAATATCTAAATCACAACAAAATAGAATTGAATAGACGAAATTGGCAATTTCATTTTTGATAAATTTTATATTTTATCTACCTTTGATATTTGATTTAATTTTATTTTAAATCACAATCATTTTAGAACTAGATTAAATTGTACGCATTTGAAAATGTGGCAAGATGAAACCAAGATGGCTAAAAAATTTGCCTTTGATAAATTTTATGACAACATTTAGCATAATTTTGAAAAGTTTCATTCAATGATAGAAACATTTCTCTTATTGAATAGATAATAATACCATTTGTTTATATTTTAGCTAATTATATTATTTGTCTTGAGTTTTTGGAGGCCATTTGGGATGCTTTTTTATATTTTAAATTTTAATTCTGTATATTTTAACATGAAATAATATATATTTGACATATTTAAATATGTTTTTGTTTTATTTATACCAGAAACAATCGTTTTTGATAATATTGGCTGTGCCAGGACGATGGTTAGTGGTTGTCACATCGACGGAGATGGTCAATAGTGATAATGATTAAAAAGCACACTAAATGGCCTATTCAGGATTTTTTTGTTCCTATTTTTATTTTTTCTTATGTTCTTTAAAACATGTTTGTTTTGTTTTATTTTTTATATTTTATTTTTTTAATAAAGTTATATCTTTAAGAAACATGCATAATTGTTTTTAAGTAATTTAAGTATTTTATAAACAAGTCATCATCATCACAGCAGCTAACCACCGTTTTCAACTGTTGTCATCTGGTGCTACCTTCGGTAACCATTGACGACCATTATTATCACCGCATAAATCAATGTAATCAATATTTAATAAAAAAAAAAAAACAAGGGCACATTGAAGTGTCTCAACATATCCCTTATTAGAAAAAATAATAATTATTATTGAGGTATTAGGATGAATGGGTCATCTCTATAGCCCAACTGTTTGGTCAATGGCCTAAAACTATGGCATGAAGCTTATGGGCATTCTTTCAACTCTCCTCATGCTTGATCAACACCTCACAAATGATTATTCATAGTGGAAGTTGATAGCTATGATGCACTTAAGAAAAGTGAATTGAGTTGTTTAAAAAGCCTTTCATTTTTTAAATTAGGCCAAATAATTAGAGAAGGTGTCGAACAACACAACAAATAAGATGTAAAGGAAGTCCCTATAAAAGTTAAAAGGGGAACATTTATCATTTCTATCATTCTATGAGGGGTCTTCCCCATTAGAGGGTCAAAATTTTTTAGGGAGGCTAAATTGGGAGAGGATAAGAAGCCTATTAGAAAGTAATCATTGGCTTCATTAGATTTTCTTTCCCAAAGCAAGAGGCATGAAGTTCAAAATAGTTTTTCTTAGGTTTATGTTGCTTCCTAGGAACCTTCTTCCCTGGTATAATTTAAGAAACTTAGGCTTTGTGAAACAAATGGTTTTTTTATTGTTTTATAAAATAGTTTGTTAATACAAAAGTAAAAAAAAAAAAAAAAACGTCATAAGTTGCTTTAAAAAGCAATAAAAAAACGTCTCAAAGCTGGAAGTCTGAGTCATGCCAATTCATTACATCATAAGATAACTTCATTAAAAACCTTTATAACTCACATTGCTTAATAAGTTAGAGGTGTCAAAAAATGACTCAATCCTAACCCAACAAAAAAATGGGACATGTTCGGGTTGACCCGTGAACCCATTTTTGACTTGAGAATGAATTGTTTAATATCTTTTTTTCTTGATTTTTTTTTTTTTGCTTGTAAGTATGATCTTTTTTTTAAGAAAATCAAATAACTTGAACTCTATAGTTGATAAATTATATAAAAAAAAATCAAAAATGGGTTAATGGTCGGGTTCTAGTCATTCGAGTTGCTAGTGTGTTGGGTTCATGTCTGTCTTTTTGACCCATTTATTAAGTGGGTTGGGTTCGAATTGATTGGACTTCAGTTGGTTCAATTTCAAGTTGGATCCCAACCTGACCCAGCAACCGTTTTGACACCCCTACGATAAGTTGTTTCCATACCCTATTTATATGGGGTATTGAATAAATTTCTTATTACTCTAAAGGTCTTCTTTCCCCTACTTAAGCCCATTGTTGCATGTATTTTCTTATATTTCAACTCATAACAAAACAAGTGGGTATACATATGAATAAATACACATATTAACTTCATGTGTAACGTAATTCAACTTTCTTGGCCAATGTACACTATCATCTCAATTTGTTCTCTCGGATGGTATACTAAATTATCTTTATCGACTAGTACACTTGATCATCTCAGCCAATTATATCACCCCTATATCTCATGAGTCAATAAACCTTAAAAATCAAAGTCAGGTATTTCTGCTCATACATCCATCCATGCAATATGAATTCTATTATATTTTGGTTTCTAGTTAATCACATAAAGGCCATGGATCTTTAAGACTATTATAAAACAATGCAAATGACTTTGAAGTTGATTTTCTCACTAGAAAACTTTTGTTTCCCTCATTAAAAATATATATATGTAGAAAAAAATTGTGATATATGTTGATATGTGTCTCTCAAGTTACCTCCACTCATATAAATCTTATAGTTATTATATAATTGTAAAAATTATTTATGCTTCACTAATAATATCCTCACTTTTTACATACTCTTGAGCATATCAAGCTCTTAAACACTATTTTAGCACAGCTTAATCCATATTTTACTATTCATATTTGGGATCATCTTCTTCTGGATCTCTTTAGAGAATGTCCCACATCTAAAGCTAAAAAACTTCCTATCATCACATCACACTCTCACCATGGTGCTTAAAAGACTTTGCTTCATTTGCATTTTTTTCCTTGAAAAAATGACATAGGCATGTCCACCTTGCTAGTTAATAACATTCAGCTCAAGACTATGTTTTTTTGTTGAACATAAGTAAATATATCATTTATTTTCACTATATGGATGCTCTCGATATTCTCCGTATCTCAAGATGTTCCATCTTGTTGCATATCTTTCTCATGGAGAACATTGTTTAATTTTAAGCTAGACACGCTTTCTTTTCACCATATCTCAGTAAAAGCACTAAAATGTCTACACATTTTCTTGTTAAAAAGAGTGATATTTGTGAGAAAGATGCTTTTATGGGATACAAAACATTTAAAGAGATATATAATGGGAACAAATGACATACACACATGTAAAGCTTGGATTAGTTGTGCAAAAGATAAATAAATAATGTCTCTATTTGCCACAAAAAATTTATAAAATATATTAGATAAATTTCATGAAACCAAGAAAAAAAATATATTTTTTTTAGTAGACTTCGTCCAATTTCTAATGTTTTTAATGAGTTGTTAAGAATAAGTGTTATTCTTATATCGATTTTTATTGTTGTGATGATTTTAGGGTTCATAG